CATTAGACTTTTATGTCAACGTTCTCGACAGAAGACTTCAACCATGGTGCTCTGTGAAATTCGATGATTTATTTTATTTAGGGATAAGCCTCTTCCTTTTTTGTGTGTGGTTTTCTATAATACTTTGCATTTTTCTGTTATAGGATGTAAAGCCTTAGTTTAAATGTTGGAGTCTCTCTGTAGACTGTATGCTCCTGGAGGGCAGGGACTGCCGCATCCCCAGTCCCAGCCAAGATTCTGGCCCAGAGCAAGTGTTAGCAAATGTTTGCTGAGTCACTAATTTTCCTTACAAAGAAGCCATAGAGAGGGAGGATCACTGGTGGCCGATGGATGTCCTCAGGTAATCCGCTCTTGTTGGCAGCACCATCTTACTCCCAGCAGCCCCCCCTGCCTTCTTTCCTCACCTTGCCTGACTTCTGAAGTCCTTTTCTTAGGAAAAGTGGCTGTCCTCAGGAGCAGATGAGAAAAACTGTTCTTTTACATTGCTCTCCTTCTGTCTCCGTCTCCTCTGTTCCTTTGCTGTAAAGGCAAGGAGGGGAGAAGATGCCAGGAGCAAAGCAGTCCATTGAGGACATCTGTTTCCTGTTTCCTGCCTGGGGCTTGGAGCTGGTGAGAAACCAGCTAGGGGTTTTTTCCTTTTGGTTTGTGGCATCTCCAAGAAGTGGACAGAATGTCAACATTTCTTATTTATTGAACTGGCTGCTAGAATAAAGGATCTTGGGTGCTGTGGGATCAGTGTGGAACGAGTCCACCTAAGCCCGCTACAGCTCATACCATCTCCTCTTCCCTCACCTTTCAGGTGCGATCAGTCCAGCTGGCATAATACTGTTGTGTTAGCTGGGCTGTTTGGTTTCAGAATTCAGCGAACGTAGACTCTGACATGCAAATGACATTTTCAGACAAAATCAAGTAGATGCAGCCTTCCAGGGTATGTTTTGTAAAAATATACTTTGAAAATAATTTTTAAACTTTTTCTCGTCATATAAATAATATTTACTGTAAAAATCTCTGGCTCTACAAAACAGTATAAGAAAATGTTACATAAAGGGGATCATATCATACATGCTGTATTACTTTTTATTGTGGACATATATTTTTAAACACCCCTTCTCCTCTCCCTTATCTGTGCCGTCCAGGACAACCAATGTTAATAGCCTGGTAGTCTCATTCCATACTCTTCTCCATGGACATATATTCACATATGTGTAACATAGCTAAAATATGTTTTGGTGGTCGTTTTAAACAAGTGAAATCTTGTGGACTTTTCTGCATTTTACTTTTGCCACTTAATAAACTGATCTAGTCCCTACAGTGAGCTGTTGTAACTAGCCCTAACCTGTCCTTGTCGGTGGCAGCAGGTTCCACGTGATGGATGTACCCGGATGCAGTCAGTGTGTTTCATCGAGGGCCTCCCCTTCATTTCCCGAGCAGACTGCCATGGTAGACACGCATGTGCATAGAGCAGGGCCCGCCGGCTTTCATTTCAGCAGGATTGTGCCAGCCAGAACCTTTCTGCTGTAAGAGATAACCTGACTCAAACTAGCTTAAAAAGGAAGGGCTTACTAAACACAGTAAAAATGATACACAAATCCTAGATAATATATATGTAAAATGAATCCAGCAATTTATTAGTGAAGAACACATCCTGATAAGGCAATGCAAGGATGGCTTTACATTCGAAAATCTATTGGTAGAATTGACCACCATCACAGATTTAAGGAGAGAAAGTGTTTAATCATCTCAATAAATGTATAAAAAGCATTTGATAACAATTTTACACTCATTCTCAATTTTTAAAAAATTGTTCACCAATGTGAATAGAGGGCCTGGTAAAGAGCCTCTGCCGAAAACTTACACTGCTTAATGGTCGAATGTTACATGCAGAAATACAGCAAAAGTGCCCAATTCCACCACTTTAGCATTTGGACCAGTAGTCCAAACCACTGTGACACCACAGGGAAAAGAAAGAAGGGTGTAGGGATTGAAAAGAGAAGAAATTTGTCATTTTTTGAAAACCCATATGGTCATCTACTTAGAAAGTCCAAGACAATCTATGTGATCAGAACTATTCAGTGAATTCTGAAAGTTTGCCGGATGTAATCTCAGTAGCTTTCCTAAGCACTTGCAGCTTCTAAGTAGGAAGTGAAATTTAAAAGATTCCATTCACTACCAAAACTGAGACACTCCAAGATAAATCTAAGAACAAAGTATGAGATGTGTATGGAAATAATTTTAAAACTTTATTGAAGGATAAGAAGAAATAAGTGGAGATATGAACTAATACTGTAAAAATGACAAAGTTGCCCAAATTAATATATTCAGTACAATTCCAAAAATGCCTGGTAATGTAACAAAGTTTTATCCTTAAAGGCATGAACCTATGGAGTTTGAAAGCCGGAGGGACTCTGAAGACAACCTTATCCCTCAACCTGTTTCTTTTTTTTTTTAATTGAAGTATAATTAACGTACAACATTATATTTGTTTCAGGTGTACAACATAATGAGTCGATCTTTGTGTGTATTGCAAAATGATGACCACAATAAGTCTGGTTAACATCCATCACTGTACATAGTTACAATGTGATGAGAACTTTTAAGATCTATTCTCTTTGCAATTTTCAAATATGCAATACAGTGTTATTAACTATAGTCACCATGCTGTACGTTACATCCCCATGACTGACTTATTTATTTGTTTAAAAGATCTGCCCTGAGCTACACACCTCTTGCCAATCTTCCTCTTTTTTTTTTCCCCCCTCCCCAAAGCCCCAGTACATAGTTGTATGTCGCTCTAATTCTTCTGTGTGAGCCACTGTCGCAGCATGGCTACTGATAGACGAGTGGTGGGTTTTCATGCCCAGAAACTGAACCCAGGCTGCCAAAGCGGAGTGCACTGAACTTGAACTGCTAGGCCATCAGGGCTGGCTTGACTTATTTATTTTCTAACTGGAAGTTTGTACCTTTTGACTCCCTTTACCCATTTCCATCACCCCTTAGCTCCCACCTCTGGTAACCACCAATCTATTCTCTGTATCTATGGGCTTTTTTTAAAAAAAAAATTTTAGATTTCAAATATAAGAGAGATTATACAGTATTTGTCTTTCTCTGTATGACTTATTTCACTTAGCCTAATGCTCTTAAGGTCCATCCATGTTGTCACAAATGCTAAGATTTCATTCTTTTTAATGGGTGAATAATATTCCATTGTGTGTGTGTGTACATTTTCTTTATCTGTTCATCTGTCAGTGAACACTTGGGTTGTTTCCATGTCTTGGATATTGTGAATAATGCTGCAGCTAACATGGGGTGCATACATCTTTTTGAGTTAGTGTTTTTGTTTTCTTCAGATAAATACCCAGAATTGGAATTGCCGGGTAATATAGTAGTTATATTTTTAATTTTTTGAGGAACCTCCATACTGTTTTCCATAGTGGTTGGACCAATTTACATTCTGACCAATCGTGTACTAGGGTTCCCTTTTCTCCACATCCTCACCAACACTTATTATTTTTTATCTTTTTCATAATAGATGTTGTAACAGTGTCAGGTGATATTTCATTGTGATTTTGAGTTGCATTTCTCTGATGATTGGTCATCTGAGCACCTTCTCATGTGCCTGTTGGCCATCTGTATGTCTTCTTTGGAAAAATGTCTCTTCAGATCGTCTGCCCATTTTTTAATCAAAATTTTTTTATATTGAGTTGTATGAGTTCTTTTTATGCTTTGTATAATAGCACCTTATCAGATAGATGATTTGCAAATATTTTCTCCCATTTACTATGTTGCATTTTCATTTTGCTGATGGTTTCCTTTGCTGTGCAGAAGCTTTTTAGTTTAATGTAGTCCCATTGGTTTATCTTTGCTTTCATTGCCTTTGCTTCTAATGTTAACAACAAAAAATCATCGCCAAGACCTCTGTCAAGGAGCTTACCACCTATGTTTTCTTCTAGGAGTTTTACTGTTTCAGGTCTTACATTCAAGTCTTTAATCTATTTTGAGTTAATTTTTGTGCATGGTGTAAGATAGTGGTCCAATTTCATTCTTTTGTATGTGGCTATCCAATTTTCACAGCACCATTTTTTGAAAAAAAATCCTTTCCCCATTGTATATGCTTGGTTCCTTTGTCATAAATTAATTGACCATATATGTGTGGATTTATTTCTGGGCTCTTTCTTCTGTTCCATTGATTTATGTGTCTCTTTTTATGCCAATACAATACTGTTATGATTACTATAGTTATGTAATATATTTTGAAATCAGGGAGTGTGATGTTTCCAGCTTTGTTCTTCTTTCTCAAGATTGCTTTGGCTATTCAAGGTCTTTTGTGGTTCATACAAATTTTAGGATTATTCTATTTCTGTGAAAAATGCCATTGGAATTTTGATAGTGATTGCAGTGAATCTGTAGATTGCTTTGGGTAGTATGGACATTTTAGCAATATTAATTTCTCCAATCCCTGAGCACAGAATATTTTTCTGTTTATTTGTGGTCTTCTTCAGTTTCTTTCTTTAATGTCTTAGAGTTTTCAGCGTACAGGTCTCGTACCTCCTTCGTTAAATTTATTCCTAGGTGTTTCATTCTTTTTGATGCACTTGTAAATGAGATTATTTTCTGAATTTCGCTTTATGATAGTTTGTTATTAGTGGTAGAAACACAATAGGTTTTTGTATATAAATTTTGTATCTTGCAACATTACTGAATTCATTTATTCTAACAGTTTTTTGGTAGAATCTTTAAGGTTTTCTATATATAATATCATGTTATCTGCAAATAGTGACAGTTTTACTTCTCCCTTTCCAATTTTCATGCTTTTTATTTCTTTTTCTTGCCTAATTGCTCTGGAAAGGACTTGCAGTACTAGGTTAAATAAAAATGGTGAGAGTGGGCATCCTTGTCTTGTTACTGATCTTAGAGGAAAAGCGTTCAGCTTTTCACCATTGAGTATGATGTTAGCTGTGGGCTTGTCATATATGGCTTTTATTATGTTGAGGTAAGGGAAGGATTTCTTAAACAAGACACACAAGAGTGTGAACAATAAAAGGAAAAGATTGATAAATTTCACAACATAAAATTTGAAACTTACGAATGACAGTAGAAACCATTTTTAGAATGTGGAAAAATAAGCCCCTCACTGCGAGATATTTGCAACATGTAACAAAGAATGAGTTCAGATGACCCAAAGAACTCCTAGCATTCAATGAGAAAGCCACTAACCAGCCAGTAGAGAGATGGTCGAAGTGTAGGGAGAAGCTCTTTGCAGAAGGGGAAAACCAATAGTCCGTAAACTTATGAAAAGATGTTCAATTAGTAATGCGGGAAATGCACATTAAAACCTCAAAAGGCAACCATTCCACAGCCAGCAGATTAGCTAAAATGTTGAAGGCTGGCAAGAAGGAGCGGGCATTGGAGAGGAAGCACTGGAGTATAACCTGTCATGTGCATGGCAGGATTGTAAATGCAGACAGCACCTACTAAAGCGTGACATCCAGCTCTCCCCAGTGTTGGACCCTCAAGAGACTCCTCCGTGAGCACCGGGAGATGCAGCGCCTGTAACAGAAAAAATGGAAAACAAGCTCAACACCCACCTGTAGGAGATGAAAAAATACTTTATGGCACATCCAGTCAAAGCAATTCCACGTGGCAGTTAAAATGACAGGAATCAACATAGATAAACCTCAAAAGTATATTGGTGACTAGAGTTACTAAATTATATATACAGCAATGCCATTTATGAGAAAAAATTTGTGTATATATGTATTAGGTTGAGCTATACAAAAAATGTATATGTAGGTAAAATATGTAGATAAAAATATGGCTTTGAAAGAGTTCAATCTAAGATATATTAATATAAATATTAAAAAGTAAAGGGCCGTATACCTGCCAACTTAGGGTAGCGATTGCTTTTGGAGAGGGAGGAAGAGGAAGGGAGTCAAGAAAACCTACAGAGGGAGCTTCAAACGTGTCTGTAAAGTTTGATTTAATACCGTAGAACTAGAGCATGTGGCAAAATGCGAACATTTGTGAAGTCTGAGTTGTGGGCATTTGGATATTTTTTACCTTGTTCTCTATACTTTTCTCTGTTTTTAAAATACTTCGTAAATTACAAAGAAAACCAACAAAGGGCATTCATTGTCAAGAAAGGTCAGTGGCAGATGTGGTTCAAGCAGGCCCCTGTCTTCCTCCATGGTTGTGCTTTATTCTTAGACTGAAAGCCAGGTGGGTGCAGCCATCTCCCACCCAGCCACTGTGTGTGACAACAGCCCAAGGAGGAGAGAGGCTTCCGGTGTCTCTCCAAAGAGTGAGGAATCATCTTTCCCAGAAGCCCCTGGAAAACTTCTGCTTCAGTCCCATTGGTCCAGGGTAGGTCACATGTCCAATCCTGAACCAAACTCTGGGGCCAGGGGAATTCCAGGAGTTGATTGGCTCAGGCCTGTGTTCCTAAGCCAGTCATGGGCAAGAGAGATGAGATTACTCTTAGACCTAATAGGTCCTTGAAAGGAACTGCAGGTGAGGATCAGGTGGGATGTATAGAGGCAGAGGAAACCTGAGGACTCCGAGCATTCTGCTAGAAAGAGGAAGAGGAAATGAATGCTAGGTAGGAAACTAACCCAACAGTGTCTACCAAAGAAAAGATTGTCAGGAGTGAGATTTGAGTATAAGGGAATGTGTCCTTTAAGTTGAAATCTACGTTGTCAGATTGCTTTCTAAAAAGATTGAATTAATTTACATTTCCACTGCTGATGTTGGGCCGTACCCTGCCTGACCCACCAGCAGTAGGATTTCTCACCTATCAGATTGGTAAAAATTAAAGAGTGATAAGTGATAGCTGATGGTTGCTGTGATTTGCGTTTCCCTGACAACTCCTAAGGTTGAGCATCGTTCCTTGTGTTTATTGGCCATTTGAATGTGCTCTTCTATGAACTGTCTATTCATATCGCTTGCCAAAATAAGAGTTCTTGTCATCAAGCTTTTAGACTGCATAAGATTTGAATATGTTTTAAAGGCATTCTCTGAGCTGGGAGGTGAAAAGAAGTGATTATCTATTTCTGGAAGCAGCATGGTGGGTTCATAATAAGAATTACTCAACAAGCAGGACACTCAAGATTATTGTCTCCGCTACTCTACCCTAGTTGCTTGTTTAAGGTGTCACATTAGGGAAACTGAGGCCCAGAGAAGGAAGGCAACTTACCTGTATATAAAATGAAACGGCTGCATGATTATTTGTAAAGGGCTTTTTGCTGCTTTGGACAGGATTGGAGAACTTTTGTCTGCCCTTGACTCACCAGAAGTTCAGGTCTCCCCCTCCTACCTCGTGGTGATCCCTCACTGGAGAAGGTGATCTCTGGGACTAGAGTCCACTTTTCCGGGCAGATGGGGATCCTCAAATCAATCAGTAGCACCCCACTGGGTTTTTGTCCCATCTTGCATTCCTCAGCCGGGAGGCAAAGCCTTTGCCCATTTCAACCCTTCCTCCCTACTCTGAGTTGCTTGCTCCTTATAGGGCACAGGTGGAAGCTTCTAGTTCTGGAGGTAGATCAGACCTTTCTTTTCAAAGCAGCCCCATAAAAGCAAAGCCTGACATCAGGGCCAGTGTTTGATAGCAAAGCAGCAAGACATCAGTTACACATACCACAAGCTGGAGAGGTGAAGAAGGCCAGGAGATGTCAGCTAACAAGGGAATTAAGCAGGTTGTTCTCATTCACGAGTCTCTCTGCTCATTCAGATCAAATTTGCTTATCCAAAGGGCACCTTTTACTAATAAACAGTCATAGCAGTGAGAGTGACAATGTTAGTCCAAGCCATACAGAGAAAGCAGGTTCTTCTGTAGTTATGTCTGCCTCAGAACCTGCGGTGTGGAAGAGGGCAGGTCCCAAGATGCGTGTGGTGAAGAGGGGCTATGGAGTCCTCCGACATGCCCTGGTGGTGCTGGGGTGCTCCTCTGGTGAGCACAGGCTGTTATGCATCTGAATGCAGATATGATGATCCTCGGGCCTTGCCGAGCAGACTTCTCCGCCATGTATAGAGAGACACCACACTCTGCTCCACAAGTGCCACCATGTGTCTCTTGTTCAGTGCTATTGGCATCAACTTTTGTTCTCATGGCTGAGGGAAGGTTGGGCAACCCCCAAAATGGTGCCAGTTTCATAAAAAGAAATATGGGTCAACCTGTGACACCTAATCCCACTCTGATTTTCTTTGAGTAACAAACTTTCATCAGTTTACCTCCGATGTTTACTTCCAAATTTTGAAAGAAGCCTGTGAGTGTGAGGATTGTAATCATTTTGGAATCTTCCTCATTAACATCTGGACAGGCAAAACACAGTTGGGAAAGTCAGCTGACTAGCCTGTGTGGTGGGAGTCTCTGGGGGCAGGGGTGATGAGGGGAGCTGCCCCAGTTGGAAGCCAATGCCTTCGCTCCTGAGTACCCAGAGGGAGTAGCAAAGAGTAGAGCCCAGCTGCCTGCTTCGCTCCCCCATGGCCGGTGCCCACAGCACATTAAATAATGGCACTAACACCACCAAGGGCAACCCCTCCCTTCTGGTCTCCCCACAAGCCCCAGATGCTGTCCTTCACTTGGTATAGTGACTTCACAAAGCGGAGCCCTTTCTGCGCCTTGGAGAACACCTTCTTCAAATTTCCTCCCTGTTACCTTTCTCATAGACTGGAGCATACAGAGAACGCCAGTAACGCCCACCCTGTGAACCTCACCCACCTGCAGCCAACACACAAAAGGAGTTTCTTAGTGTTAACAAAGCGTGATGGCAGATGGCAGTTTATTCCAACCAACAGGCTACAGCATTTCTGTACTTCACCCTCCTGAGTAATTTTCTGCCTTTTCCTGGTGACTATAAAGGACAGGGGCAACCAGAGAAGTTGTTTTTTGTGGTGTGTCATGGACGTGCATGGTGTTCTTTCCTATTTTTCTGGTTTTTAACGTAACAAGGCTGGTCACGTTGTCTTTGTGTATCCTTCTGGAGAAATCTAAGTCATTATTTGCGTATAGCTGTTTCTATTGGAACATCCAGCACACGTTTCTAGGCAGCCATAGTCAGTTTCTCAAGGCAGGGTTCAGTTATCATATCTGTAAAAAGTGGGGCCTCTTTAACTCAGTTCTATCCGAATCTTAAACTCATAGTGTTCAGTATAACAGACGTCCATGGGGTGTACGCCACATCCAGGTTGCTGTGCTCAGCACCGCTCTGTGGAGCAGGCCCCCTTCTCATCAATCAGAAAGTGACTCTGCCCCATTATAATGATTTGAATTGGGGGTCTTAATATAGAAGAATGAAAGTGATATTTTAGCATATCTAAGCTAATAAATTATTTTTGGATATTTCCTATTTTCACATTGTTAGAGCTATCTTTTTCTTTTTTTTTCAAATCTAGTCATGTTTTCAAAAAATACAGAAGGAGAAGTCTGTGTCCTACTTAAAATCAACTTCTTTTCTGGTTGCCTGCAGGGTACAGTGACAATGCCTCCGCCTGCAAGGTGCTTCCCAGGCAGTTAGCCTCCTCCTCCAGGCCTGAGCCTTCTGAGCTTGTCACCGTTGCCCGGTCTCACTCTGTCCTGCCTCTGTGTGTCCCCACAAGCTGCTTCCTGTGCTGGGAGTACCCCTCCACCCTCACCATCACAGGCTGACCAACTGCCCCTCACCTGCCACCAACAGCCCGTGGACCAGCCCCTTGCCAAAGCCTTTCTTCTGCTCCCCACCCCACCCCCCCCAACCCCGGGTCTAAGGGCTCCTCCACGTCCTCCTGCAGGTTGTTCAGACCCTCATGAGAGCACCCTGAATTGACCTTCTCTGCTCACGGTCTTCCTCACTGGTCTGTGAGCTCTGGAGGCCAGGAGTCTTTACTTTCATTTGTGTTCCCAGCATCTAGTGAAAAAACAAGTAGCCTCTGGAAGCCCTCAAGTATCTATAAAACAAATCACTGGAGCCTCTAGGCCCATACCTACACCTCAGCAGTGCACTGCAGGGTATCAAAGGATCGTCTGTTCATTCCTTCACTCGTTCCTTCATTCATTCTTCAGCAGAGGTATTGCTTTCCTGCTTTCTGCTGATTCTTGGATGTTAGACCATGTTCTGGAAATCCTGGAGACTCTTCAGAGCCTTCACCTGGCCAAGATGGAATTGAGGTTTACAAACGGTTTATGAGACCTTGTTTTGGGTTCACATAGTTTGGAGTTGATTTTTTTTTATCTTTTAATCTCCATCAGCCCCCAGGATTTGAACTTGAAAGAGTTCTCCCATGTCACTCAGAGTTTGTTTGGAGGAAGTGGAAAACCGTGCAGATTTCAGTATCTCTCACTGACTCTTTTAAAGACAGGTCTGGATGCAGCATTCTGCTAAGGTGTTTTGACTTCCCTTAATGTCCTAGTTGACATCAGAGTTTTATAAAAACGTTCAGAAACCTCTGATGTTACTACTCTGACAGCTGTCTATTTATATTTATAGATTTATGAGCAGAAAGAGGATCACTAAAGCTTTTTTATTTAATCATCTTCTAGACAAGCCATCTGAAAGCAACAGGGAAGTGCTTCATTCTCAGAGGTTCCTGGGCCCTCAGCCAGCTGCGTTGAGGTCCCGTCATAGCTGTTCTGAGCCTTGCTGTGGGAAGGGACTGTCAGCCCAGGGAAAAGTGACTTTCTGCTGATGAGCGCCAGGTGCAGGCGGTCGAGGCCTCTCCACCCATCTGGTTGGGGGTTCCCAGGAGGTGGCTGGCAAAGCCCCACTGTATGTGAGAGAGGCGAATGGTGAAAAGTTTCTGGGGTCCCTGCCCTGGAAGCCTCCAGGTAGCAAATTAACATTAGCCATGTTGTGCTGACTGCTTTCTTCTCTCAGTTGTCTAAACTTGAGCTCTCCAAAATGGGGTCAACACGAAATCACCCACTGTGGAGCAGGAAAAAGTAGAGATCATTAGACCAGAACAGATCTATTCTCATACATTTGATAATGGACCTAATGTGTTAGTATAGTAGTCCATGCACCTACTTTATAAATAAATATGCATATATTGGTGGCATGACCACAGTTTTTCTTTTACTGATGGAGTCGTATGCTCAGAAAAGTTTGGAGACTACTGTGTTAGCTGATTGCCATTAATCTGAAACAGAGAGGGCCAATTTTCAGTTGAATGGATGAAAATGCTAAGAGACTTCAAACTAAGCATCGATTGTGTAAATCAAGTATGGTAATTTTCCTCACAGCATCATATGTTATGTTGGTGTGCACTTAATAGCACTTGGGTTATTTCCTGCAGAAATCTAAAAGTATGAGTGAGATGTCATGTTTTACATATATTGTTAGTTTCTGTATGTGCATGATAGAATGAAGAACTTTTAGAAGGGGTACAACACAGTCAATGCTATCACTCTATATGATACAAAAACTGCAGACGTAGATGGTAAAGGGACCATCATTAATATTTTTCTACATGTTTCAGTATTTTTTCTGTAAGTATACACATTTTTGGTTTACCGAATTATGATTTTGTTGAACAATGTTTTATAACTCAAATTTGTTTCACTTAATATGTATTTTTCCTTGTCAGAAGGGTGGGAATAATATCATAGAGACAGGGTCATGATTTTGAAGGTCACTTGTGGAGGTTTGGCTTCTTGATTCTGAGAAGCAGACCCTGGAAAAAATCTGCCCATGTTGCTTACACTTTCTTTGTAAATCCAAAAACTCATCAAGTGCTTTGCAGCAAGAAAACCAGATTCCGATACACCAGGGAGTGCCTTCTCTTTCCAGCACTGAGAACACCTTAGAAAACCAAATTGAGATGAGAAGCCTTTGCAAGATGCATAGACTTGACCTGAACCTGGAATTCCCCCCAGGCTGGTGGGACCCTTGGCTTCCTGGGCTGAGCTGTAACCAGCTGCTCCATGCAGTGACCTCCTCTGTCTAGTTTCAGGTTCTCCATCAAAATATTTCTGACTGCTTCAGAGAAAATTCTTGTCCCTCCACTCCCACCCCAGTCGCAGGCGGTAGGTAATGTTGACGTGGGAAATATACTTCCACGAGTATCCTTAGATTCCAACAAAACTAACAGTAGCAGAATCTTGGACGTGGGAGTAAAACACAGAGGTATTTAGTAACTGCCATCACTATTAACAGGGCAAGATTAATGGGTGCTCACTGAGGGCAATGGCATAGGCAGAGCAGGCTGCTAGCTCTGAGCCGTTCCTGGCAGTCACCCCCTCTCTCCCACTCCGGCAGCTCATCGGAATGCAAGGGATGTGATTATATGGATAGACCTGACAATGCTATTTTTAAACACAAATCTTATTCTTGATTTTAACACTTTATTAACTCTCATTAGTTTCAAGTTACTGCATAATATAGCACCATGCCTCAGAAATTTGGCTGTGGCTGATCCCTTTCTGATCACCGGTCTCCACCACTGATTATCTCTAACCAGTGAAACCTACTCCACCTCCACTGGGGATGGCTTCAAAACTCTAGGGACCTCATTGGGTTTTTGTAACCCAGTCAGGGTTGAAAAGTGTGTTTAGCATCCACATTTCTTACACATCGTTCAGTGAATGGCATAGGCGTGTTTGTGGAAAGCCATGGATTCCTAGTCTTCTGTTAAGCATCGAGATCCCAGGATTGAAGCGGCAGCCTTCAGAGTGGTCTCTGGCCTCCACCTTTAGGAACCAATGCAGGCTTGTGATGGAGGTTGAGCAGGTGATTCAGCCTACACGTAGCAGTTTTACAGGCTGTGTGACTTCCTCTGTTATCTTTGGAATGCAGTTTGACAGGAAGGGTCTGACTTCCAAATAATTCACTTATTATCAGTCCTCTCTAGTGGCCAGCCCTCCATTGCTAATCAGTGCAGAGCCACCCAAGAGGTCTTTGGTGAATGGTCAGTTCAGCTCTTTGTAAATACTTCTGAATTGGGACATTTCTCTATGAACAGCCCAGATAAACAAAGGGCCCAGTGTATTGGGTTTAGTTGGTATTTTTACCAAGTTCGTTGAGCCAGCCTTCTTCATACCAGTCCATTCTTGGAATTCTGAACATGACTGCTGTACACATCTGAATGCTATCTTTAAGCACAAAGCTTTTGTAATCCATTTGCTTAGCAGTGTCCCTAGGCTGTGGTCCAAAAGCTATAGAAGAGGCAGTTGCCTTCTGGGTTTGCTCTGCCATTTTCCTTATCACAGCAGGGGGACTTCACAGAGGTATATAAAACTGAGTTTGGCCTGAGGTCAGTGTTAGGGGGTATGAGGTTGTGTGTGATTGATTAGTAATGTCTTCTGTGAGCACAGGTGGGGAGTGATAACCTGCTGTCAATCTGTCACCCCAGGGCCAACCAACAGTATAAGGTCCTACCCTACTGACGCTTGAAGCCAGCCATTGGGGATTTCACAACACCTGGCTAAAGGATTCTATTAGTGAAGGACTTACCTGAGATCACCAGGAATCAGCTCCTGAACTCTGAGCCATGTCCGACGGGAGCATTTCTTGTCTCCTAAATGAAAGGTGACTTTTTTATGGAGTGTGTTCATCTGCATGTTCAAGATCTTTTCAGTAGCACAAAGACTGGTTCTGTGAAGTATCTTCCAGATACAGGCATCTGAGTTGCTTGCTGTTCTGTAGGCAGAACTGTCTGGTTAGATCAGGGCTTCCCCCACAAATCTCTCTATCAGAGATAAGAACTTTTAATACAGATTAAACCTCACAGCACCAAACTCCAGGAGACTGTCTTGGTTCGACACTTATGCTAGAACATGATGGCATCAAAATATTGACTGGGGCTTAGCAATGCTAAACAGAGATCATCTGGTAATAGTTTTCATAAGAGGATTTGATTTGGGGATAAAATTTCATTTATGATTTTGGTCCACTTGTGCCTTTGCATAGAATTCTGAAAAACTAGAGTAAATAGGTAGGTAATTTTATTTTACTTCTTTGCCGTGGATATTTTTATACATTATTGTATGAAGACCCTTGTAGCTCATGGCAGAAAGATTTTTCCTACTTTTAAGGGAATTTTATCTACAAACTTATTAGAGATCATTTTTCAGTCTTCACATTTCAAGGACGATTTAACTCTCAAGTGTTGGAATGCTTAATCCAATTTCAAAAATCAACTTTAGTTCCACTCAGAAATCAACATATCGTTAAACCACTGGATTCACGTGTGAGACTACAAGGGCGGATGGTGAAAAGGAGTCACGTGGTGGACTCTGTGGACCACGTTAAGTGGAGATCACAGGAGTGTAGAGACTACTTGTGGAGACATTGGCACCCTCTAGGCGTCTTTATATTTTTGTGCCATCCACATTGCTGCCTGCAGAGGGGCTGTCAGTCACCTTGAGATGCTGCAGAATGGACCACCCTGAGCAGAAAGCAAAAATGTACCCATTTGTTCCTTAGTGACTCTCAGAGTCCACAGCTCCCCCAACTAGGAGTGAGCAGTTTGACATGCAGGGACAATGGGGGCAAAGATCCCCACTGTTCAATCGGTGCAGCGCGATGCCAGGGGCTCGGCTGACTGAGACACTGGTGAGCTGGAGCGCTGACACCACTGTCTGTCATCTGTCCCTCTCTGCCGCGTCTCCGGAGCTGAGCACAGTGCCTTGCACCTGGGAGACTTCAATATATTCTTGTTGAATTGAAATGGGTCCTTCATCCCTGGTCCTTATATCCCTGCCCCTGGGGATGGGGCCATCACAAAGGGCTTTCCATTGAGCCATTGACGGCTCTGAATCAGTCCTTAGCACGTCCTCAGACATCTCCAGCATTGACGTGGCTGCTCACCCCACCCCTCGCCGGTCAGCACATCTGCACTGTCACTGGCACAAAGGACAGAGCCGGGGTTGGGGGCCTGGTTGGAGTCTAATATAACTTTCCCCAACAAACCCCCACTGTCTATGTGATGCTGCTGATGCAACAAGCCCTGTGCATCTGCAGAAATGTGTTTAATCTCAAGCTTTAGGTCAGTTTTATATATATATTTTTAATAAGCCTCTGCAGCTTGTGGGGTATGAAATCAGTTTTAGAACTGTAGGGTATCTTAGGGACTTGCCTGGATCTTACTTACTGAGAAGCAAAGTACAATCCAAAATGAAATTAGATTTCTTTTAAAAGGATAAAGACTATGTGTTTTCTGAGTTTCAAAGAAACCACGCAAATGCAACCTGGTCTCCTAGCTAACACACATATTCTAAAACCGTTTACTGGGCTCCTGCTTGCCTTGAGGACTAAGAGGAGGAGGGGGAACCTTCAGGTTTGGGGGTATACCAGGCCATGCGGAGGGTGGGGGAAGCCCGAGTGTCCTGCGCCCGCAGAGGAGGCCTCATGGGGTGAAGGGAGGAGGAGGGCAGGAGCTGGAGAGACACCCACACAGGAGAATGGAGAGGCCTCCCCTTCCCCAGGACTTAGCCCTGAGTTCCGCTGATGGGAACCCTTGGGCCTAATTTATCAGTGGCTTCCTAATCCCCCAGGGAGAGCGGAGGAAATGGCGACCACAGAACACCCACAGAGGGAGAAACTGGAGACCTCTGTTTATCCAAATGAGTTTAGTCTGCGATTAAACGCTCTCAGGCCAGAGCGTTTGCATTTGTGGTTCAGGGTGCCTGGGGCCCTGGGAGAGCTCCCTGTTTAAGGTGGGCTCCAAGCAGCCGCCCTTCCTCCCCGCCTCTTGGGCTGCCATTCCCACACCCAGAGCAGTGTCTGCCCAGCAAGGAAGCATATTCCCCATGCCCAAGGGCTCTAGAGACAGACGTGAACTGTACAGAGTAACTGCTCTGCTTGCCCCACCAGCCTGGGGGAAAACCAAGAGCACGTTTCCTCCAGTACCACCCACCCGAGCCCACCTGGCCAGTGTCCCCAGCGGCAAGGCTCTGCACCCCACCAGGAGGCATTTAGGTGTTTTGCAGACCCATCCTGCCTGGTGCTGATTCTCTGCCCTGATGCTTGCCTGTCTGAGGGTCCCTACCTGTCCCTGACTTATCTTCCTGCAGGGCCAGGACCCCCAGCCTCCCTGGCACTGATGCTGCTGCCACTGTGTGGCCTGGGGGAGTGAGGAGCCTGCTCTTCCTTTCACTCAGACCCCATTCCCCAAGCACAGCTGAGGTCAGCCCACCGCGTTTGAAACTAGGTCAGCAGTCCAGAGACTTGTAACAGAGAAACGGGAAAATGGACACTGGATATAGGGCCCATCCCTCCGCAGGGCCACCCACTGAGCACCTTTCCCAGCTCCCACACTCCCAAGAGGTGGAGGATGCCTGTCTTCCTTTCTCCCCCATCTGCAGAGATGACCAGCCTCTGGAAACAATGGCCTCCCCCAGTGCAAGGGCCCACCCTTTGATCCTTCTCTTTCTGCACCTAGCTCTGGCCATGTGAACCACCCCCCCAGCACCCCCCCCCCCCCCGCCCGCCAAGAAATACCCCTTTACTTACACCAGGCTGGCTGTGTCCTCTTTCTCTCACCTGGACATTGCCACCAGCACATGGCGTATTGCTGTTTGAGGATCTTTTAGCATGAGAACTCTCCATCAGCCTCGTTGACTGTCACTTGCCAGTCCTCCCTGTGTAAGGGTGACTTAGCTCTCTGGTGGCTGGTGTGTTCCCTGAGTCCGAGTCATTTGGTGTGGTGGCACAGTGGATGTGAGTGCAGCATCTGGAGTCCAGGCCTCCTGTAAGGAACTTCAGCCAGTGGCATCCTTCCCAGGGCCCCTAGGGTGTCTGCCCTCACCCTTGCAGGAAACTGCCTGAACAAGGAACCGCCCCCATCCACAGGCAGAGCTCACCGCTGCCCCAAGCTGGCAACAGTGTTCTCTGAGGCAGCCCCAGCTCTGTTTCTACAAAGGAAACAGATGCCGCTCCGCTTACATCACAGGTCTTAAATTAATAAAAAGGCAGCTGTGGTGATACACTATTATTTTAATCACAGAGATACAAATATTCCTGATTCTGGCAGCCTTTTCTTTGTGAGCACTGACCCTGTTCCAGAGCCGGGCCCGGGGCTCTTCCTCCTCAGGGCCACTCTCGAGATGAGTTTTCCTCTCCTGCCTTCCTGATGAAGACGCACTCCGAGAAGCCAAGCCTCTTGTTGCACAGCGAATAGGAGGCAAGGTCTGGACTGAATGCAGGGTGCTGACCCCAGGTGCTGCCCTGGACCGTAGACCCCTTCCAGAGCTGGGCAGGTGTTTTTCCAAACAAGGAAATTGCCCCAAAGATCCTTCCACTGACATCAACCTTGGCGCCATTTAGAAGCCAAGAAGCAACCTGGTCAGGTGGAGAGCGAAGCTGGACGTCCAGCCAGGCTGGGTGTGAAGCCTGAATCCAGGGCTTCTGGTCATAGGACGTGGGCAAGTTTTTAAACTTTTCTAAGTTCATTCTCTTATCTGTTCCTTATCTGTAAAAGCACAACAGTAATGCCTCCCTGTGGGGGTCCTGACAGTCAGAGGTAATGGATAGAAGGCGCCTGGCAATGCGGTGACACTGGTAGTCACCCTTCCCCAGCCCCATATTTTAATATCAGGTCCTGTAAGAATATTTTAATTCAACTTAATATTTTTATGTGAGAAAAAACCTATAAGCTGATGAATCATGACCAAGAGAACCTGGTGGTTTTTCCTGAAACTACTGGGTTGTTTTGAGCCATCAGGATTCTGTGAACTGTGACCTCGGGGAAGGAGTCTCTGCACTCGCTCAGCTTTCATTTCATTCTGTAAGACAAGCAGTATTTACCTAATTGCAGTGACCTCAGAGAAAATACCCTGCAGTTGTGGAATTGATGAGATGGGCTAAGCGTTCCACTGAGAAGTCCGTGTTTATGTAAGAAAACCACGTCTCTGTATGGAGTGAAATTGTGGTCTTTGCTCACTTTTCCTCCCTTCCCTCTGTGGAAAAGAGGACAAGCAGAGTGAGTCAGCCAGAAGCTCAGCCAGTGCCAGGAAGAGCATGTTTGAAATATTTCTTGCATTTTCTCCTTTTAAGTGCAGTTGTAATGTGAGGTTAAAAGGTTGGTCATTTTATTTTGTGTAGATCATCAAACGCCATGCCCGTGGGGTTCTTTCGAGAAGGTTGTATGTCTCGGGGTACATGGTGGGGTTTCTGTGGACTAACGGGGGCGAAGAGTGGGGGGATCTGGGCTCAAGATCCAGGGCTGCCACCCAGGAGCCCTGCAGGATGTTTCATGCAGCCGTGTCTTTAAAATGGAGGAGTTAGGACCGTCTGTGGGGGGTAGCAAGGGTGAGGGATGTGCGGCTGAATGAGAGAGCAGACGGGCGAAGATGCCCGCTCCTGCAGCCCCTTCCTGTGGGGAAGCAGCGCTAGTAATAGCATCAGCACATTAATCTAAAAATAAGGCCTGCAGAGTGCTCGGTGCTTCCTGGAGACAGACTCCCTTTCCCTGATCTTCCCTGGTCTTTCCAGGCCCAGAACAGCCAAGCAGCTCTTGTCCCTGCTGACGAGAGAACCAGCTTTCCGAGATGCTCAACTGTCCTTCCAGCTGTGGTTGTGAAATGCCAGCCCTCTGAGCGAGGAGGCTGTCAGGCTTCTTGGCTTGCTTTGGCTTTTGCCATTGTCTCTGGTGCCCCCATTTCAGTGTTGACCCCACATAGGTCCCTGTTTCAAGCTCACTGCTGGTCTGTACTTTTCAGCCCCACAGTGTTGGATGGTGCTGTGTTGTTCATAACGGCTAGATGTTGACCTCTCACCTGGTAATTGACCCCCACACCCCCTGCAGTGCCAAGGTGTGCAGAGCCCAGTGAAAAGGCCAGCTGCTGGCCCAGCAACGGGATGACACAGTTCTGCACCAAGATGCTTCTCTTTCTTCTGGGTCCTTCTTGCCCTGGTTCCACCCTGGCCCTCCGCCATCCGTCGTACCCTGAATCTCAGCCGCCTGCCCTCAGCCTCCTGCCGGCACACACATATTTTTGCCTCCTTCCTCACTTGACCCCCTGTCCTATGAATTCTGCCTTCAAAATGTCTCTCAGCCCTGACCATTGCTTTCCACTCCACCTGCCCTCACCCTAGTGGTTTCCTCTCCAACCTCCCTCACTGGAGCTGGCCACCTCCCCCCAGAAAGCATCTGAGGACCGTCTCCTCCACAGGGGGTCTTAGGGAGGCAGGCCAGCCCCTCCACACTACAGTCACCAGCTTGCTTCCCAGCCTCATGGGACCGCCCCATGCCAGCCCATCATGGGCCCCCACTGGTGGTCCCAGATATCTGCATGCCTCCCGACATTCCCCTCTTCGTTCCCTACTTCCACCTCACCCCCCCACCCCCATTCTGTTACGCCCAAATGCTACCTCCGCCGCGGGCTCTCCTTGGTTCTGCTGTATGAAACGTGGTTCCTCCTCCGTGTTCCACGGTGTCCTCTGGGCACCCCTCTTACATCAGCTATTGCATTCTGCGGTTTCATGTACTGGCCCGCCTGCCACCCTCCTGGAGCCATCAGCTTCCTACAGGGAGGGGTCGCTCCCCATTCTTCTCCACGTGTCTGTGGAGCGGAGTTGTAACCTCTTCAGCCAGGATGGATTCCCACCTCTGTGCTGGGAAGGTGAATGACTTCAGGCTTTTTAGATCAGTGACCTCACAGTGTATGTTAAAGGTGACTTGAGAATTTGGGAAACAACATTCTGTTATTGATGGCTAAAGGAGAGGGAGAAAATAGAGAGTGTAGTTTATTCATGGCATGTTGCTCTCACTGACGTTCTCTCCCACTTGCTTCACCATTTCTGAAGAGTTCCAGTTGTTCTCCTCCCCGCTCCCGCCCCGGCGGCCCTGCCCCAGGCATGCCCCCGATGCCTCGATGCCCCAGCTTTAGGCAGGCCAGTGTGGCGGTGTCCCGCTCAGCTCAGCTGTCCCGTCCTTATTTCTGTGCACTCCACCTTGCTTCCCTCCTGCTGCCCCACGCCTGCTCTGGTGGGACTGTGGGTCCAGTCGGACGTGTTGCTTTCCTGTTGAGGAGAAGGGCCACATTGTTTAGAGGCCGTGGAAGGGGAGCTCCGAAGTCAGAGGCAGGCTGTTCATTCCCAGAGTACTTTAAGGCAGGAAGGTGTGGTGTTGTTGTTTGTTTTTAAGTGAGACAAATGTGCTTTTCAAACGAGTGTGTGTGTGCGCTCGCACCCCTGAGTCTGCTTGAACATCTAACACCTACCAGCTCCCTGACAAGAACATTTGTGGCAGATAAAAGGCATTAAGGAGTCCTGAGAGGGAAGCGGGATGAGTCATGGAGAGCGCGCGCCTGCCAGAGCCTTTGAGAGCAGCCCGTTGCAAAGCTCCTCTCCTGGTTCCTTGTTCGCTCACACCTCATGTGAAGGAGGGCTCATGGGTGGGTGTGATCTTCTGCCTCCCTCGGGCCCCACCACCTCCCACACACCTCCCACCATGCACAGGGTGCCCTGGCCTACTGTGCGCCCTGCTGGGCTCCTGTGAGTCCCAAAGGTTTTATTTGCCAGCTGGGGCTACAGGAACCAGCCCTGGGCTGCTTTTGTCCCAGACGCTGAGACTGAGATGGGCGTCGAGTGGCTGTTCGTTGCTCTGCAGCATTCATCACAGCACAGGGAAGCAGCAGGAGGGTGTGGCCCTGCTGAGGCTGGAGAGATTAGGAGAGTGCCTGCCGAACGGCTGAGAAGATTTGCAACTAAGGATCACAGGAAAAGTGGACTCCAAGTGCCAGCCCGGCAGGCGGTACTAGTCTCTGTATTATACACATGCAGCCCCGGCAGTCCTTGGCCCTAGGGGCCACCTCGTCCAGCCTCACTCCCCTTGCTTTCAAATTACCTGTCTCCTTGCATCCAGCAGGAGGGGAGAAGAGATTCACTCACCGTCCTTTGTGGAGCTGGGGGCTAGGGTATCACTTTGGCAAAAGCTGGGGATTTTTGCAGAGTCTGCTGCTTTTTGAGGTCTTTCAGTAGTGCTCAGAGCTGATTTAGGAAACGTGGGATTCACCAGGGAGATTGGAAAGAGAAGGGGAGACCATCATTTGTGGGAGGGGAGATTGCCTAGACATTTGGTGAGACGTGTTTGGGGAGCAATGAAAATGAGTGACTTGATGGGGAAGAGGGGTTGGAGCAGTTGGGGAGAGTTCTTGGAACCTCCAAATGTGCCTGGGAGAGCTGCTGCCCAAGCCCATTGTCTGTGTATATCCACATCTCTTTAGAACCCATTACCAGTTCTTCAGGGGCCTTAACTGAAAGGGCATTCTGAGCCACAGGCTTGCCTTTCCCTAGAGTCTAATGAGAACCCGTGATCCCAGCCACATGGCCACACCTGTGGCCATCCAGAGGCCTGAGGAGAGATGGCGGTGGAATGGGCAGGACAGACACTTCACAGACCTTCAGTTCAGCGTGCCTCCCTCCTGTTACTGAAGCCACAGTTGTTGACTTAAGGTGATAGGACTGGCCAGTGCCCTGATGTGAAAAGGCAGGGTGACTCCTGCCTGTGTTCAGGACACACCTGGCTGTGCCAGGTGCAGCCATGCTCCGCACGCTCTTTTATATTCTGAGGTCAAGCTCCTCTGGAGACCCACTGACGCCTTTGACCAGAGTTTAGGAAATTCAGTCACGGGGAGACTGCTCACCTCCCATGGTAATGGGAACTCCAGGGCTCCAGGCCGGCCCAGCACGCATCAGACTGTGGTTTGGAAATTCAGTCAAATATGAGGCAGGTCCCTCCACCCCTCAGAGTCACAATGTGACTATTGTAAAGAAATGTGCAAATAAAAAAATGTGTTTTCATTTTTATTTATGCAGAAGCAGGAGATGGCAAATTTTAAACCCCAATTTTAATTCAACCTGGAAAAAAAACTGAAGGTTTGAGCAGCTAGTTGGAACCTTGCCTCTGTCCTTTTGTCTCTGTATAGGTCTGTTTCTTCATAATTACTAGACTCACTAACAGAACGCAGTGTATTTAGTCAGTGTGCAGGGTTCCCATCATTTGTTAGACCATAATGGCCCCACTGGAAATTCAGAAATGGAACTTGTTTTATTAGAAAACTTGAAAGAAGGTATCAAAAGGGAGGAAAAGAAAGAAAAGCAAAGAAACCAGCCACAGATCTGCCTCATCAAACAGCCAAACAGTGTGCCCAGCAGCATAAAAACAGCACATCCCCGTAGCCAGCTGGCAACAGACGAGGAAGCACGCTCTCCTCCACCTTGTTCATCTGACAGGAGCCTCAGGAGCGGCATTCATCATTTTGGTCTTAAGTAAGGAGTGCCGTTTGTAGAAAGGGTTTTCTTTTTTAACCACTTTTTCAGGTGTGGTGTTTCCCCACCATACTGCAATTTACCTGGGAAGTTAATTGCCTTATTCTCTTACACTGACCTTGAGAATATTTCATATCTGAGAAAAGTGACATTTTGGTTTTCTAATTTAGAAGCACAAAGGAAGTTGAGAGAGACGGTGTATGAACCTGATTCACACTTTGGGGAAGAGGGCTCAGGTTAAATTACAGACTCCTGGAACTGGGAGCAAAGATAACACTATTAGACGCGTGCATTAAATATGATTAATGGGACAACAAGGATAACATTGATGGCCCTTTGTGAATACAACTGTGACTTGCATTTCATCCCTGAAAACTTGTGCAGGTTGAAGGATGTGAGTACACACCAGCAAAGGTCTGTGCCCACATAAAATTCGAACTTCCCTGGCAGTAACAAGCAGTTCTAGAATGCCTTTGCCTACAGTTTCATAGGATGCTGTTCTAGGAAAGGGGGACACTTTCCCCAAGAAACACATTAGCAGAAATGCCAGCCCTTTGGCAGAGGGTCACAGGCAGATGAATTAATGGAAAGGAAAGAGAAGAATACCAAAACTTGGCAGCCTAGAGGGATGGAGAGCTTAAACTTGCCTGAATCAGTTATCATGCTGTTTGACGTTTTTAAAGGATGGCTAGTTTGGTTTTGCATGTGACATGAAGGGGCTGGTTCCTGTCGGATCCCACTGACCCCATGCTGGGGCAAGGGCCACTAACTCAGTGGTGCCAGCACAGGCTTCTGGGACACATTTTGATGACACTTTGGGAAGCCTCATCTCTCGGTGGGAAGAATCGGAGTTCTTATTCAGCTGACAGAGAAAGCTACATTTAGAATGCAATCATTTTGGAATGATAATGATGGAGGGGCAAGGGCAAAATGTAGCTGTCACCTTCTCCTCCTCTGGGGAATATGTGATGCCTTAGTCTCCTTAAAGAAGAATAAAATAAAAGGCAGGGGTGGGACTTTTCTGGGTGTTAGTGTGGTGGTAGACGCCAGCTCGGACACTCTATAAATTATTTAGGGGCTCATGCAGCAATTGAAAGGCAAAGCAAACTTGAAAATAATTTATTTTTTCCACATCAAGATCAGAGTAACTTTTTTGTGTTTTTGTGCACTTGAAATAAAAATTAGAATAGTTAAAAAATTAACCATATTGGGGAATTTTACTTCTTCTGTTTAAAAAAAAACTACTTCTTTACCCTTTTCCTTGGAAAGCACCACAAATGACTACTTTCACATTTCAGATTGTTTCCTAGATTCTAATTTATCTTCTAATCATTAAAACAGGAATATAGTTAATATTCATCTGACTTTCAAAAATTAAATTTACTGGTTTAACCTTCATTCCTTTTGTATTATTACTGTTATCTTTGCCAGCACCCAATGCTCATTTATTGGAGTGTGAAAAACAAAATTGATGAAAATTAGTTTTTCTCTCCATATCCAGACCTACCCTCGCCAGTTCCATCAGCTAAAAACACTTTGACTAGGTCTTGTTTGTGTTTGTTTCAACCCTTTCAAACTGCTGGTTCCTGCCCAATACCTCCCAAGCTGGCTCTCAGGTGCTTGTTTGCCAAAATAAGCTGACAGCATCCCTGAAAATGGATGGTGTGTTAAGAACTGCCGAGGGGCTCAGCTGGATCTGGGGCCAGACTGTGAGAGTCAGGATGAGGGACTGCCATCCGGACAGGCAGCCCTGCCCTGGACACGGGGGCCTGTCTGCTTGGATGAGATGAGAACGGAGGTCTGAGACAGGGCACAAGTGTGGGAGGCAGTAAGGGGATTAGAAGGAGCAGAGGTAGGGAGCACAAGGAGGATGTGTGAGCAGTGGGGACAGGGTCCCTGACACAGAGGACATGAGTGGAAATGCAGAAAACAAGAAGCAACCAGCCAGAAAAACGGCTGATAGGATGCTGGAAAATAGAAATGCTTTTAAAAGCCAATTTCCCAAAAGTGAATGTGAGGGAAATTGAGACGTGGGATGCCCGAAACCATCTACCTGCAGAGCCGGGAAGGGTTGGCGGACACCCGTGGGGTAGTCACCATCGTCTGAGAGAGGCAGTGAGTTCTGGGAAGCGTGGGAAGTGAAGAGGTAAGAGATGAGCAGAATGGTCTTCGGGGGTGGGGGTGGGGGGTGACAGCCTGGAGAGGGCCGGCCATTCCTTTACCAGATCGGCTTGTTAAGCTGACCCATAAGAGCACCAGCAGCCTGACTTCCAAGACAGCCACCCTGCACGTTGTCTTGAGCCGCCTTTGTGACGGAGCCATCCCTGCCCCTGGCCCTCCAGGTGCTCACCTTCCTCCGGGAAGGAGGTGGCTGCATCGTGTGTAAGAGCCAGGGTACCTCGGGGCTGCAGGAGGGCGAAGGCCTTGGAGGTTGGGAAATGCTGTTCAGGCTGAGACTTGGAAAGGAGGAGAGGGAGCTGCAGCCGAGACTCGATGGGGCCGTAAATGCTTGTCTAGAACTGAAGAGGGTACCCAAAGGAGGCTGCGGAATCCCAGAATCTAGAGAATTCAAAGGAGGGTAGGAGCCCATCCTTCCTGAGTGGCAAAGTCTAGTTTAAAAAAAAAATCTAACTGGGCAAAGCATACCTTCCTGGACAAGAGGCAGCCAGAGCGAGTTGAGAGAAATCATGAAACCAGTTTTGTTCTAGTGGCTTATCGGCTACAACTCTTATGGCCTCCACTGCCTCAGGCTGGAGATGCTCATAGAGGTCTGAGTGCCCAAAGGCTCGTGTGGGCACCAGCTCTGGCCCCTCAGGCTAACCACTGGTCTCACCATGCAGTCACTTCCTTTAACTCTAAAACAGGAATAATCAAACTTGGGTCATAGTAGGATAAAATGAAAGGGCCATGAAAAGTAGAAAGCCCTCTCCCATTGTGTGGGAACTCCAGGAAATGGTGCACCCTTGGGATATGGCTGAGAGAGGAGGCCCAGCAAACAGCCATTATTATCACTACTGACACACCTCCACAGTGACCAAGGGGGTGCCAAAGACCTACACACCAGGCACCATCTCGTGCTTCCTATGAATTAACCCAGGCCAACTTCACAATGCAGGCCAGTCAGTAAGCTCCCTGCAGTCAGAGATCTGAAGAGCACATTGTATGGCTGCTGCCAAAGAGGCAGGATGGAGGGAGGGTGGAAGGATGCTTGAATGGAAGGATGCATAGAAGGAAAGATGGGAGCAAAGAAGGATGCATGGATGGATGGAAGGAAGGAAGGAAGACATAGGTTGGAAGGAAGGAAAATGTCGTATCCATAGTCCAACCTCTAGCTTACATTTTGCTCCTCCTGCCATTGCAGTGTAAAGAATCAGTAAGACTTTGTTTCTTTTTTTTAATTAAACAAAAATTTGTTGAGCACCTGCTACATCCCTGGTCCACACTCCTACCCTCAAAGAGCTCACTCCTGAAACGGGACAGTGAGAATTGTCCATTAATTATTCGAATACCCAGCAGAAGTGGTGAGGGCCCTACACAAGGGGTAAAATAGACTGGCCGTCTCCAGGAAGGTGTGATGTCTGCCTGCTGGGAGCTGACCTTAAAGGATGGGGAGGAATTCATGCTGCAGACGGTCCTCCATTGAACTGCCCTTCCTCCCTTGTGGGAATTGCAGATGGTTCCTCTGGTTTGTGTAGTTTCCTTGGAAGTGGAGGGGGGACCTGTGGAACATGAAGTAGAAAATGTAGGTTGGGACCTTATTATGAACAGCCCTTAAATATCAGCATAAGAAACATGGATATTTTTTTCTGTTGAACACAGAGTAATTGTATCCATATTTTGGAATAGTATGCTGTGGTTAGCATATGTACCAACATGAATCAATTTCCGAGACCTATCATTTAATGAAAAATGCAAGTTGCAGAAAAATATGCCCAGTGTGATATCACCAGTGGAAAAATACTACACAAAACAACTGTGTTTGTGTCCTCTGTGGGTCTGAGAGGGCCCACACCAGACTGCCAGCAGCAGTTACCTTTGGGGCAAAAAGAAAGAATTTGGTTTTGGGGATGGGAAGTGTTGAAGGAGGATGTCAACATTTTTGGTAATCTTTCAGTTTTACTTTAACAGGGAAAATGTT